TGAGCCAATCGCAGCCCGATAGGTGGGAACTTTACGGACTAAGGCTGTTCGAAAGGTTTTCTTCTATAAAATTAACCGATTCTAGACTAATTCCACTCAACATTTCCAAAACACGTATAATTTTTTGGGAATAATCTGTATAAACTATACTATAAACAAAAAATTGTAGGATTACTTACCGAGTGTGCACTACACTCGGTAAGTAATCCTACAATTTTTTGTTTATAGTATAGTTTATACGAATTATTCCCAAAAAATTATACGTGTTTTGGAAATGTTGAGTCGAATTAGTCTAGAATCGGTTAATTTTATAGAAGAAAACCTTTCAAACAGCCGTAATCCGTAAACTGCACACGTGCCGGGCTGTGATTGGCTCATGTATTTAAGGATTTCTACAACGTGAAATTCTTATGAAGTGGAACGTATCTACCGCGTTATAGGGGGAGGGGTCGACTGTAATATATAGTTTGTATAAAAATATATTGCGATGTATTTATTCGAGGATAGTCATAAAGTAAACCAAGTCCATACAAACTATTTTAGAGGTAATGAACTATTTAGGAAATTTTTTAAGATTAATAAAATAATAATAATAATAATATTCAAAATACATTAATGGGTATAACGAACAATGCATAATACAGCATCTTTTCAAACATAAAATGCAGAAAAGTTATAAATAACTTGAATACAATTTTTACCCGGTTCGCTTTAGTACATAAATTGTTAACAATCCAAAACATTTTATTTATTACTACAGTCCTGATATAGGTAATGTAATTTCATATTTCACTTTCGCTATCCCATTTCCATATATAAAGGAATCAGTGGCTGCTTCATGGTAATCTGAGGCACCTGAGGCCAAACTGATTTTTGCAGCTCCTGTCTCTAGAACGTAGCATTTCTAACAATGGCAATCTTGTACGAACTATTTATAAACAACTTTAAAATACATTTATGGGTCTTGACTGTATTCAGCATATTTTTATTTTTATTTTTATCCTTTCGAACGTTTTTGACTGCTCATTTTGACGCGTGAGGTTATTGCCTCGTATCCTCACTCTTCAAGTCAGCACTGAAAGGAATCATATTTTCTATTCGTTGATTCCATTTCGTGAAATATATTCTAGGCAATTCCAAGAAATCGTTCTGTCGAAATAGTTCCAGTTCCTAACCTAATTCTGTCTATTACAATTAAGGCTGTTCTAAAACTGTTTTAGGAAGCACTTATTACTCTTTGAATTAAATCACACACTTGAACTCAGTTTTTTTATGAACAGTTTTTGTTAATTGCTCGTTTTTACAGCTTAATTTGCGGAAGAGATATTTGATCTGATATTATTTCATTAATTCTTATTAATAAATCTTCTATTTGTTGTAATACAAAATGTGTCATATGCTTCACTTGATCTTGAATGCTAATACATCAGACCTTGAATAGAACTGAAGTATCCAAAATCTATCTTGACAAATGCCATTGTTTTGAACAATGTATCACTACTTATGAATGTTCAACTTACGAATAATTTGACTGTATGTATAAAATTTAAATTTCATGCAGATTGTGAAGTTCTCTTGCTGTTTGTGTGGTGGCTTTGCAGTCAGTTTTTGATCAGTAATAAATAATAAATTTTTTTAATACATAACGTAGACTTATTTCTATCACATCATTTTTCATTTTCATACAAACTCCATGATTCCACTGCTGCTCACAAGGTGGCATTGACATTTGTAATGTTGGAGTAATGGTGTTTTTTGCTATTGTTTACAATTTCTATAAACTTTTACAATTAGTGCTACAAAAGTGTCCAAATCAGTGGAGATAAATGCAAGAAGTGGTGCTCTATTACCATGAAAATTAAACTTGACATTATAAAACTAAGTGCATTAGGTGGAGAAAAAACCATGTTTGAAACACTCACTACTAAGCAATAGCAAACATGTAAATGAACATAATGTATTCTATTAAGTACATTGAAGGATCAAACACTAACAATAAGTGGGTATTCTGAATATATATGTACTTTCTAGGTTAGTTTTTGACTTAAGTAGGGGAATAGTTGTATTGACAAGAATTTGCTACCACGTTTAACAGCATATTTTAAAACAATGCCATATAATGCCTTTTTCCCCTAAGTAAAGAATCCTTTGAATTACCAAGTGTGCAAAAAATGTAGCCTGTACTACTCAAACAGCAGTTGAAGTGCACACAATGTGATAGCAAGTACATGCAACTGTTAAGTGCAATCAAGTTGTGTTGCTGTCATTAGACAAAGCATTTACAGTTTTATTAACAATTTAGAAGCTAAAAGCTGAAGTGATGTAAAATGATAGGAATTTAAATAATGTTACAGTTCCTATAAATTTCTCATTAACTAGTCAGATTCCTGTGATAGACATTAAATTATGGTGTCCTATTTATGTAATAGTAACCGTTTTGCACAAATAAATTATATTGTAAAAAAATTTACATGTTTTGAGTACATGTTCAAGTTTGTATTCACAAAGAAACTAATAGTATTTCTGCAATAAAACATCTTGTTTGTTTTCATATTACTTATATAATTTCTTCATGAAATAGGAAAAAGTGGTAAAATATGTGATAAGTAATAAATTTATTTTTATTTATTTATTTTACATTGAATTTTGGAAATGCCATCAGACAATTGATTTCCACCCAGCAGGACGTAAGCCCAAAAGAAGTTTAAAAAATACAAAAGATACAATGGAAAAAACATGTACAAAACAATAACACTATATATAAAAAATAATAAAGTGTTAGTTTTTGAGAGAATATTTATTTGTGACAAAATCTGACAACAAAGTGATGGGTGTAAAAATTGCAAAAATTCAAATGTGACTTAATTGTGAATGGCTCCTGTACAGTAGGGTTACCATAACAGCTGAAGGCAAAATACACATTAGCATTAAAAGTACTCAGACAGCAAGGCAAAATAAATGGAATTCATTCATACTTTTCAATCTAGTAAATGTAGGCATATAATGTAGTTTCAATTTACACTTTCCTTTGGGGCACAGAATGCAATTTTAAAATATAAGAAAACTATTTTACCATAGACAACTAGTAGTTTTTTTTTTAAAACTCTCAGCCCTGTGATCACTAAGAGGGCCTCTTTTAGCAAGCCCATTATGGGTTTGGCCAGGCCCACAATGGAGTGGCTGGGTGGTAAGGGATGGTGCCCAACAAGATAAGTACCATTGAATTAAAAAAACAGTTATGAATGGGCACATGTTCTCTATGCAACAGAACTGTTACATTTGCTTATACAATGTTGCCACCTAGCCAACAAATACAATAATAATCATAAAAAATTTTGTACTTTTTTCAGATTTAAATCTAAGTGGTTATGATTTAACTATTAACTGTGCAATCAGTTGAAAAGTACAAACATTTTGTTTATTTTTTCTAAGTACAATACAGACACAGACAGCCTTTAAAGTATGGACTGTCCATACTAAATATGGATTATATATACAGTATACGTACTTTCATATCTTCATGTTACTTATATATGTTTGATATGCAGCAGAGTAAACTATTGTTAATTTAAAAGGTCAGAATGTACAAAAAAATTAATATTTGTTATTACTAAATGCCAAAGATCAGTTTTCCTCTATCAATTATTTGTCCTGCTGTTTGCTGCATTGATTTACATATTATCTTTAAATGTAATATATTTTTAAACTGAAGTATCATAACAACACTTCAGGATTGCTGCAAAACAGCATTGAGTAACACTACAAGACTTCTTATACACATCATTGAAGATGTAAAAAGAACAATAACTACATGGATAAATAAGTAGGAGTGCAATAAAAAAATTGCAAAGGCAAAAGTGCCACTATTAGAAAAAGGTTGAAAAACACTATTAAATCAACATAAAATTCATAACTAAAACAATAATTAACAAACAAGCAAATTATGTAGTCATAGTATTTCCTGTTTATAAATAAGGCTATTCAAATAGCAATACTTCAGTTAAAATATTGTAAAAGTTATGTAGAAATCTACAATCTATTTATTAGAGTTGTAATGTTTATGATCTATCTCAGGCCATTATCAGCTCAATTAAAAAACAATAAATAGAATAAAGAACTGATAAAATCATATGTATATTTAAAATGAGTTTCAGCAGTTTAAAAATTTAAAATGGAGAAACAATTTGCATATACAGTATTACTATTCTGACTTAAAATATAAATAAAATCTTTACACACAAATTTTATTGTTTATAAAGTTTATAACAATCAAGTAAATTCTTTTTCAACCCTACAGAACAGATTTTGCAAATTATCACCTTTTAGTTACAGGAGCAATTACAACAGCAATAATTTAAAACAGGAAATAACTCCATAATCACCCAATCGTAACAAAAAAATACTTTTATATTTAAGTCTTTCACTTATACGAAATGTTTTCAAACCATCTCAATTTGTCATCAGCCAATTCCTTTAAAAGAACAAAATAACTCAGAATGACAACTTCCAGTTTAAATAAATTAAATTTTAAACACTATAAAAGTATTCAAATCTTTTTTTTTTTAAAATGCTTTTATATTTAAGTCCATTTTCCTTATGATTACATTAATGACAATATCATCAAATTCTAAGAATCCAAATATGATGAAAAATAGTCAATAAATGTATTAAGATTTATGCTTAAAAATGATCAGTTATGTTTCTTCACAATCATTATCCAATAAATTTTTATTATTTAAATATATATTAATTATTATATTAAAAACAATAATAACTCTAGCATCTGTAAAGGATATTGTGCAAGAAGAAAACTTAATTCTTCATCAATGTTAACTGGAGGAGAATCAGATTCAGTGTTTTCATCTTCTTTGTATGTGTCTTCATTATATTGGTCGATGTCAATTTTTCTAAAGGTTGAACATGAGGTATTTCTCGCCATTCGACCGCTCGACGAACTTCTCTGTTTGCTACTTTAGCTGTAAACAGCGAAAACTGAGAAGGAAAACCAAGTGAAGATGCTGCACTTGAATGTTCACGTGTGTGACGTCCGAGTGACGTTTCACGTTTTAGTTTACTTTAAAGATTAAAAATTTTATACATATAAATATAGTTATTGATTAATAATGAGGAAATATTTATTGTTATTAATAATATTAAAATATGATGAATTATANTAAGAAATTATTTTACGCTATTTCAATATTTACATTCGAACTTACCAATCCTGTTAGCAATTTCATTTCTAAAATTAAGAAATAACTGTTCTTTGTAATTATGGTTGTGAACGGGAAGCTCTTCTGTTCTACTCATTTCTTCATCGTGTGGCTCAGGTATTTCAAGAGGAACGCCTGATATAACTTCCTCAGCTAATAACTCTTTTAAGGGATCGGGAGTAGAAGTTTCTTCAGAATAATAATATATTTCCTCATTTATTCTTTTTTCAGGAATGGAAACAACAATCTCATCATCTCGCTTATTTAGAATTAATTCTTCGTGTTTTTCCATTACTAACTGTGGAGGAACGATCTCCATTGAACTAATTTGATTACGCTGTTCTTCATTTTCAGGTGTTCTGATATTTTCTGGTAATACGCTGACTTTTGGCACGAACTCAATATCCGTATTGTGTCTAACCGTTAATTCAGATTCCAACGGTACTTCGACATATTGAGATTTATCCATTATTTCTTTAGGATGTTCATCAAGCTCGTAATCAGACGAGGAAATATTGACGATATTATAATCAGCTGAAGTAGACATTTTATTTTTTATATACACTGGATTCATTCCTACTTCATTTAAAATAAATACTATGCAGCTAATGAGCAAAATCAATGCTACTCCCCCAATAAGACCAGTGATGACGATGTAAGTCTTTCTTCTATACGAAGGCTCGACTGTTTTTTGAAAGATTATTCCACGATTCGGAATTATTACTTCTTTTGTCACTCTTTTATTCTTGGAATTTCCGATGATATAAAATTCTCGTGTCTCTTCAATTTTAAATTTTTTCTTGTTTTTCGCTTCCTTAACACGTTTTTTACTACGACCAATTAGATATTTAGGCCATTTACGCTTATGTTTTCCAATTATTCTATCGTCACTGAAATTATCTTCTGGATCTTTTGAGATTCGGTATTTTTTGTTACCGTCGAATTCTTGGAATGGCCTGTATATTTTACTGTATAAAGTAAAATAACGTTTAAATATATTAAGATGGTCGTTCTTGAAGTCTAGAAATGACAATTTGTTCGTTTTGTAAAAAGAATCCTTATTGGTTCCTCCGCTTCTAGACGCTTCGTTGTCGTTTTTACTAATGGTGCAACTTGCACGCAAAATAAAGAAACTTCCAATAATCAAATTTAACTGCATAATCGATTTTTTCACTTTCATGTATCTTTCGTATCTGTGTTATATTATTGCATAAGTATAGTGAATTAAAACAACAATACAGTATTGTTTCGAATAGAACTATTCATATTTTATTAAGCATGCAACAATAGAAAATACTATATATTTCTTAAGTAATAATCTCTTTACAAATGAAAATTTAAATTATAAAATTTATTTTCGTACTTACAACGCCCGTAATAAAAATATATGTCTGTAAGAAATCTTCAAAGTTACACAGCACTGTTTCTTATAACTATTACTTATCTAATTATCCCAATATTCCCGTTTTTTTTAACACAATACTCAGACTCAGCTGACAGAAATTATCCATTTGTATAATTAAAAACTGCATTTATTCATATTCAATAATGCATTGTCAGGGGCGGACTGGCCATGTGGAAAATTCCACATGGGCCGTATATAATTTGGGCCGTTTCTTTTTTCTAAATATGCACATAATGTACCGTTTGGTTAAGTTTAATTTAAAAAATTCATTTATTTTTTTTGTTTTGTTAAGTAAGATAAATTTCAATTTTTAGATATAATACAGGTATATATGTAGGCAGTGCCATAACTAGCCATTCCTGTGCCCTGTGCAAGAACTTGCATTTAGGCTCCTTAGTTAATTAGGTTTAGAAAAATAATAACACAAACACGTGCATTTTGGGACACTCTTCCAAATGGGCCCTGTGCGGGTGCACCTGTTGCACCTGCCTAGTTACGGCACTGTGTGTAGGCCTGTATCATTTTACCCGGCTCTACCGTATCCGAAGTTAAATTAGTTCGGCCGATCTGAGTCAAACACTACATTAGCCCGATTCGGCCCAAACAGAAAGCATCATAGGAGAAAAATAATCAAAACTACCTTTTAAACAGAGAAAATTGATCATTTGTTTACATTGCTAGAAACTTTTCACCACTCCTATGAATCTTAATGCTAAACTATAGAAATGCAAGTTATTAGTTTTGTACCTAGCCACTAAAGCGATGATTGTAGTCATAACAAATTTAATGGCCACTTATATTATTTCCTTTATTTTAGGCAAGTAAAAAATGTTATTCAATAATAATGTCTCTGTATTCCAAACGATTTAATTAAAAATAATCTATTTTGTAGTGTGAGGCCGGGACCTCACCTCCTCTCCAATGGGAAACTGGTTGTCGAGCTAAAGCTAATAAATCGATGATTTATTTCGTAAACAGGAACGAGTGTAAGACGATTTAATTGTCGCATTCCCGGACCAAATTCACACGTCCTCGATCTAGATCAGGGAAGGTGGGAGAGAGAGCAACCGGGGAGAGTTCGACTGTCATGTTACAGCGAGTTCAAAACACATTGGACCAAAATTTACGGGACCGTCACTAAATATTCCTGAAAACGCGTTTCAAAAATTAAGCAGTATTTTAATACAGTTTAATCCAGTAGCTACTCAACACAACATTATTTCAGAATTGCAACATTTTAAATCGTATGGAATATTTTAAAGGAAAATGTCAATGAAACTTTTATAAAATTAAACGAAAATGAACATTCTACTGATGATCAAGTAGAAACTAATAAAGATGCGATTTTATCCTCTTACTGCATTGCTTGAAAAAATTGCTCTATTTGTTGTTATAATATACTAGCAGACCCCGCCACGCGTTGTTGTGGCTCAAAATGTATAAATGTATAACACTTCCCCCGCGTGGGGGGAAATTTTTCGAAAAATTTCTTTTCAGTGTACATTCTCTTGGCGTACCCTATTAAAACGCAATCAAAAACGCAAAAACCCGCATCTAAAATAGTATAATAGAAATCAAGTTCTTCAAGGTAAGCCTTAATCCTGTCCCTCTCCCCCACGGGAGGAATATTGAAAAATCCCTTTTTAGTGTATATTCTGTTGACATACCGTATTAAAACGGAATCAAAAACGCAAAAAAACCGCATCTAAAATAGTAGAAATAGAAGCAGAGTTCTTTATGCTAAGCCTTAATCCTGTTCATCTCCCCCAGTGGGGGGATTTCGACACGTATATTACATAAAAACACGTGCGTATTCGAATGCAGCGTTGTGTCAAAATTTCAAAGGAATTGGTAGGAACAAACGAACATTACATTTTTATTTATATAGATAGATAGATGATGATCTGCTTTAGT